GAGGGTGTTGGGGGGAGCAGATAGATGGAATGAGGGTGTGGGGGGGAGCAGATGGAATGAGGGTGTGGGGGGGAGCAGATAGATGGAATGAGGGTGTGCTGCACAGACCGCTACTGCAAGCACCAATCTCCCGAACTGCAAACCCACGAATTCACCAACTCCCGAACTGCAACCAAGGGAATACTCGAAACTCCCGAACTGCATACCAAGTAGCACTCCCGAACTGGAGACACACGAATAGCTGCTAGCAGACGAACAGGAAAAGCCCCCAAGCGGCTTTCACTCCTGGCAATCAGTTTCTAACAGCATACAGTAAATCCTCCCCCCAATAATGAGACGACACTTCACTTTGAGGGTTAAGCAGGAACTGACTGGACTGGCACATACAGCCTCTTTTTTTCCCAATCCACAAATTTAGTACTGCCCACAGGGTTTTACAGAACAACCAATAACACGTACAATACACACAGACACTCCCACACAAAATCCTCCCCACTGCCTGTGATACAATTACCTTACACAATGGGTAATCTAATTATCACAGACAGAGAAATACAGTTTTATAAAACACATCACAGGGACCCCAAAACATGCAATAACCCCATAAAAAAAATTCACCCGGATCCGTTCAGTACTTTGGAAGATACAGTTTAATGCAGATTCTGCAGAACATATACAGGCTAAATGAAAAACAATCACTGTATAATGTGTCCCCTGCTGTATAGTCCAAAACCACTGCATGATGTCTCTGTGCACCAAATACTGGCGAGATGGCACCGTGTTGAAAAGTCCAAACAGTGTCTGTGTGTTAAAATGGCCGCCATCCATTGTTCTCACCATGTGCTTCATCCATTGTTCTCACCATGTGCCTCTGATACAGGAAATGGTGGCCACCCAGTAACTCCACAGTATGTCCCCGGATGGTTCTTAAAGGGCCAGCAGCAGCACAACACAAATCCATTATGTCCAAATCGTGTCTTTAAAGGGCAATACATCCCAGGGGCCATAGTCACATGGCAGGAGGCAGGCAATCAGTCTTCTCCAATGCCCAGTGGCAAGGTCGGTTTCGCCACAGCAACATAATAGGATATCTTGCCTATGAGGATTGTAGCCAGCAGTGGAAGAGTTAATTCAATGTGATTTGACTAACAACCAAGTTTTATTGCTACACTGCTGTGTGTTCTGTGGAGTTCTGTCTTCTATGTGAATTTGGTTTTTAAGTGATTTCTAAATAGTGTTGTAGCAAACTCGCCCCTTTAAAGGAGTTTGACATGAGTTTTTGGAGGGGGCTGCTTGTCCGCCTCCTGCCCTGTGACTATGGCCCCTGGGATGTATTGCCTTTTAAGAACATATTTGGGCATAATGGATTTTTATTATGCGGGAACAGCACCCTGGAGACACCGAAATTATTATGGAACGATATAGAGCCAGCGAGTCCCTGGACAATGTTCGAGGTGGAGGATGAGTTTAACCGGAGGTTACAGAACCTCTTAGCCCCACTGGATAAGCCAATAGCAGAGGCAACCAGGTTGGATGGCAGAGAGGGCGCCCGACAGGAGATGTGGGAAGAAACGTGTAGTGGAACGCCAATATTAAATCCACGAATTCCGCTGGTTCCGGAAGTAATCCAAAGTCAAGCGCTGGAAAAAGCAAGGCAATATCCCAAATCTCCCAGTAATAGGACGAAACACAGTTCTGAGAGTCAACTGAGGTCTTTATTTTCAGCTCCACAATTTATACAATTCCCCATGCAAGGGGTCTCTTGAGTCCCCTCCCAGGGGCATTCCCAGAGAGGACTACATGGGGAACTTATTGTACAAGACATTTCTCCCATCAGGCACTGCTGCACAAGAGGGATCCTCCCACAGGAATGTACCGTTAAGTGGATTATCCCTCCGTGCAGCAGAACCGACAATTTATATTAAAATGCATAACTGTGGTAATATACGGTTCATTTAAACAAATGGACGTTCGGTAGATAGCTGGGGTCTGAGCGCATCATTCGTGAGATTACCGCTCAGATCCCAGCTAAACCAACCGAACGCCGCACGAAAAACACATTCATTAAAAGACATGTTCAAAATACCGATTGCCTTCCAGGGAACCAAATACCGAACGGGCCGGGACTCCCGGTGTTGGGGGGAGCAGATAGAATGAGGGTGTGGGCGGGAGCAGATGGAATGAGGGTGTGGGGGGAGCAGATAGAGTAGCCGTTTTTAGTACCATGCGCTCGACGACCAAACACCGCTGAGGGAACAAAGGATCCAAGATGGCCGACCGCCGCATGGTCGGTAGTCGAATGACGGCCACCTTGGAGAGCCTCTAATTACCGATTGCAACATTGTTGCAATCGGTTAACAAGTGCCACACGCCTCTAAGTGTGTGGGCTACTACATGGGGTATTTTCGGTTCACGAACGGCCCACAAAAGTGACATTCGTGAAACGAAAGAAAATACAAAACATACAGCTATCTGCATTCGGCAGATAGCCCATATAGCAAATACATGTTAATTATAACCAGCATACATTCTATATAGTTAAGCCCATATCCCACAACCCTACAGGCAACCCTTAAAGGCACAGTCTCTTTATAGTGTCCAAGTGGCTATGTTTGCCACAAAACGTCTCCCCAGCAAGGAGCAGTGACTACATGTCCGAGTGGCCCTGCGGATGCCTATGCTGGGAGAACAACTCCTGGGGGAATTGGTGATGCAGCTTAGTTCACTGGCATGGAGGGAACTGGGTATCGACGATGCATACCAAGCGCTATGTTGGTACGCGGTTCAGCGTGTTCCCGGAATGGCCAAGTTCGACAGACCGGAGGGCAAGGATTACAATTGCCCTAGCTTATTATGGGGGGCCTTTGCAGAACCGGAATTAGGGAGTGCGGCAGAGTCACGGCTTTGGGATATATTTGACTACAGAGAGGCCATGCTGGATCTCCCTATGGCTGAAGAATTGGCTGTCCAGGAATGGGAACTGGAGCAGGATTACCAGCACCTGATCAGCTCCAGTCAGTCACCCTATATCCTGCAGGTACCGCCAGAGCAGTGGGAGATCGAACAGGATTATGCTTGCCTATATGATCAAGTGACACCGCTTGTCTCTAACATGATGGGGTTTATGGACTGTACACCATCGGGAGCGTTGAGTTTTGTCCCTCCTCCCCAGCAACTAAGCCCGTCATCTGGAGACCTAGGTTCTGTACCACCTACTTCCCAACTAGCCCCAGAGATGAGAGACCTTATCGACTGGTCCTGGGAAGAACCCCAGCTGGCAGTTGGAGCGGGGACCGAGGTCTCTCCACCGGCCGTACAAGGATGCTGGGCAGCCGTCCCAGATCGCCAACCACAGATGGATATGTTAGGAGTGGGGACAGTCGGTCCCTCTCCACAGCGTCCAACCCAGGGAGAGGAGAGTGTCGTCCGGCAGCCAAGTGTGTTATTGGGAGAAGGGACAGGCGGTCCCTCTCCCCAGCGGCAGAGTGCTTTACAGGGAGTGGAGACAACCGGTCTCACTCCCCAGCGGCTGAATATGATATTGGAAGGGGAGGTGGTCGGTCTTCCTTCCCCGCAGGACAATGTATTGGGAGAGGAGACAGTCGGGGTCTCTCCCCAACGGCCAAGTGTGTTACAGTCGGTCTCTCTCCATCTCCAGAAACCAAGTATGTTATTGGGAGAAGGGACAGACGGTCCCTCTCCCCAGCGGCAGATGGCTTACAGGGAGGGGATACAACCGGTCTCACTCCCCAGCGGCTGAGCATGTTATTGGAAGGGGAGACGGTCGGTCTCACTTCCCGGCAGCAGGACAATTTATTGGAAGGGGGGACTGTCGGTCTCCCTCTCCAGTGAGAGAGCGTGTTTCTGGGAGAGGAGCCTGTTACCCCTTTTCCCCAGCGTCAGCTTATCCCACCAAGGGACAGAACCCCCGGACGGTACAGATGGGACCGAGGTCTCTGTACCTGACCCACAGGGATTATTTTTAAAGTTACAGCATGTGTGTAAAAACTGTATATTTTCTGCCTGTGGTAATTAAGTTAGTCTATTGTGTTGAGATAATTGTATCACAGGCAGAGGGGAGGAGATGTGTGGGAGGTAACATGTATCTGACTGGGGACTGTACTAAGTATTGTGGGTGTCTCCCTAACAGTGGGAGAGAGGCATAAAAGCAGGGGTTGTGGAATAAAAGTTCAGTTCTGCTCCTGATACCGTGTGTCGTCCAGTTATTGGGAAAGGTGATGGGATACTGTTGGATTTTACTGCTGATTGTGCTTGTTATGCTGCTGGATTATTCTCTCACTGTGGGTACTGTGCCTGGGATTATTGCTTGTTCCTGAGCCACACCTGGACTACCAGCGGAAATAATCTGTGAGAGACCAGCGTCCCGCTACACCAGGTTGCTGGCGGTGTTGTGCAGCAGGTGTCGGCCCTCGGGTGGCCAGTCTTTTAGTTTTCCCCATTTTCTTGCTGTTAATCGCTGTGTTTTGAGGCTTGGGGCCTAGGAGCTCGAGTATCGTGCATCCTACTCGTGCAGCCAAGCCACGCCCCCCGTAACCCAATATTTACCTTTAATTTCTTTTATAAATCTTATACTTTAGCAG